TGAGTCCCCCCCCCCCCCCAACCGAACCGATGTTCGCAAAAATTGATTTTCTACAAACCAATTTTTTCAAACTTCTCATTTCCATGAACCGGTCAGATTTGTCAGCTGATTCATCACGGTCTAGTACAATGTATTTGTACAATATGTATGGTATATACTGTATAAATAATAATAATATTAAACATTATTAAAATCTCATTAAATATCTTCCTTATGTTCTTTTAATGAAAAAGGTTGAAGAATACATGCTGACTATTTTTAGCTACATTGTTATTTATTTTAAGCCATAGTCCTAAAACACTTTTGGAAAGTTGAAATGTTCTGTGGGTCACATGCTTAACTCAATCTATAACCATTTTAAATGGCATTTTGCAAGCAGCTTTTATAACATTATTAATAGTCTAAACAGAAAATGTATCATTTTACAAATTCATCTGTCAATTAGCAGCACTATTTAAAATGAAAAAGGTGGAAAATGTAAAAGTGAAATAGTGATCAGCACATAAAATATACATCTGCACTTACACAGGGGTCTATAATCATGCTGCATGTCAATTACTCATTTTGAGATATATATTATATCACTATTTTGAGATATAATATATAGATACATTACATTGTTTTCAATTATATCACCCAGCCCTAACTACAACAAATGAATTATGAAGGAATGTTTCTAAACCATTTTTTTCCCTGTGTGTTTTTGTGTGTATAGTCTATAATCTGAGCTACCTCCATCAAGCAGACCTATTGTGAGCCCGCTGTCCTCAGAGGGCAAGAGAAACAAGTGCGTACTCTGAGCTGGAGCGGTGCGGGGGCGCGAGTGCTCAGAACAGCGGCTCCAGTGAGGGGATAGTGGTGGGCTGCCCGAGAAGCATGCATGCTGGACTGAACCCATAGAGAGGGCTGTTAGTGAAAGACAGGTGCCCAAACTGACATCATGCAGGAAAGCAAGACAGGTGCAAGACAGATGGGCAGAGACATGAGGGCAAGTCTTGCCAGTTTCAGCTCTGAATCAAATCAATGATTCTGTTACATATGTGTATCTGCAGAGGTATGCATTTATATAGCCGTAGCAGCAAAATTGAACGGGGTCCTCATGTCTTGGCCCGGGGTGCATGGAGTGAGGAGACGAGATGAAGGAAATGCAGCCTTACTGTATTTCTCCTCTTTGCACCTCTGCAGGATCTCTAAGCTTCTCTGATGTACAGGGTGATGCAGAAAACTAAAGCTATCCACACTTTTCACAACTGGAGCAGCAGCGTCATGCCCTTAGAAAGCCAAAAAAAAAAAAAACACAAATAAGAAAGAGAGAAGAAAGAGAAAAGACAGATTAAATAGGGAGAAAAAAGATGTGCTTGTCTACGCGAAGCTAAATGTTGACTATCAGCATACAGTCTGGTACACATGTCATAGATTGAATATGAATTTTGGTGTTCACACTTAAAAATCAGATTTGGGCCACAGTGAAATGCAACCCATGAGGCAGTGGGCAGCACTTACGATTCAAACTAGATTGCTGAAACAGCACTCTGTGTGAGGTATCAAAGCATTAAGATAAACTGCTAATATTCAAATTGTTGTAATGGAAGAAAGGCCTATAGATACTGAAAAGCTGGAGAGCAGGGCAACAGACATCAAGCAAGAGGAGCAGGGCTAACATGGCATGGTTCACTAGCCAACATACACACAAAATAGCCCTGATATTTTCATATATATAATACTTGATCATTTACAAATTCAAGATGTCTAACAATTTTTTTACACTATGGCAAAGACTGTTACGCAGCTAAATGTGGCAAAAGATACAAACCCCCTGAAAATGAACGACAATGTTAGATACGACAAAATCCTGATATGCCAGAATCCAAACTCTCATGGACTTGTTTGTAATGCCTAATCAAAAAGACCAGTTGCTGCAGATCACCTAAATAGAGAAATATTCTGTTGTGATGCCTAAAATAAGTGTAAGATTTTTTTGACTCTCTCTTCAGCAATGGCTCAATAAATTGGTCAAAAGTGACAATAAAGACATTTATTATGTTTTCTATTTTCTGTTCGTCAAAAGAAATGTTTTTGATTAATGGCTGCTTAAAAATTCAGCTTTGCCATTACAGAATTACATTTTAAAATACAGACAGTTTCAATTGTAATAATATATAATATTTTACAACATTACTGTTTTTCTATATTTTAATATTAATATTTGTTTTTTTTACCAAATAAATGCAGCCTTGGTGAAAATAAATGACTCCTTTCAAAAACATTTATAAAATCTTACTGACTCCAAACTTTTGATAGCATGATATTCTACGAGGGGATGATTTGATGTAACAATTGAAATGTTAGCTTAGTAAGCTCATTCTTTTGCATACAATACTAACCATCAACTAACTAATGCAAAGCTAAAAGCTTACTTCGATCAGTTGCAGCTTCAAGTATTTAATGCAATATATAATTTATAATAAAATCCATTAACCTAAGTAGTTTGATGGTTAGAGATAAATTGACCAAGATCAATCTGTATGATTTATAATCAGGCACACAGCAGAACCCCAAAAATGGTATCTTAGCCAATTGTATCATTTATTGGTCCAAGAGAGGTCTTGGATTTGCACAATAAGATATTGGAATATTTTCAAGTTCAAGAAGAATGTTTTGAACTTTGTAGTCATTCTTATATCCAACCGCATTGGTACAGTGTGACATGTACTGTCTAACGAATCTGTAGCACAAACTGCAAGCATGTGATCAAAAAAAAGTGCAGGTAACCATTTCATTTGACTCACCGCTGCGTTTCTCCACATGTCTCTTCCCAGCATCCCTGAAGGCTACCATGGCTCTGAAATAGGCCCTGAGTACAGCCCAGCGGAAGGTGGCCACTGGGTCAATACCGATCAGACCACAGATGAAGGCATTTTTACTGCTCTTGAGGAGTGCGACGATGTCTGGCCGCATGTGGTCCGTATTCTTCTCTCTGAAGTCCTGGGACAGCAGGTCATACAGAAAGTCAGTTAACGGCACTGTTATTATGTACAACTCTATCAGCCAACAATACAGGCTCATCTACTCAATGAAGTCAATGAAACATCAGTGAAGAGAGAAAGTGAGGCCTGTAGAGCTCCATTATGTAACACATGAACAGAGGCTTTATATTGTAAATAAGAGGATCAGCTACTCATGACTGTCAAACTCTGCCAGGTGTACACCTTGTGATTTGTTTCTGTCTTTTATGATTGGTGCTTCAAATTGTATGTTTTGACTTCAGTGACATCTTGGGTAAAAGCCAATGCAGAAGCCAAAGCTGTCTTTTAAGTCAGAATGTTTGATATGCATTTTAGGAAAGTCTTTGGTCATGATCGGAAAACCCAAGCAATTCTTTATGCTTAATAAAAAGACTTAATCAAAAAGGCTTTATCAAAAATAAGTGTGAGGTTCCTGATCTTTCAATGCACTATTAAAGGTACAGATTGCCGACCTTGATTTGTTAACATAAACAGCCCAGAGGGACAGTCGACCAGCATGGGATGCTGGGACTTCACACAGTTACTCATTACTGTCGTGTTTATGGTGCCATGAGCGACAAACTGAGAGTTACTCATTATATACTATAAATATACAGTCATGTGACAAAGACATACCACCCTCTTTACATTGAGTGGTTATAGATGTACGACCAGTACTAGAACGATGACTGCATTGGTGACTGGGATTTTGTCAAGTAGGATATATTGCTGGTTCAACATCTTTGTTGGTCCCAGTATTCGTACTTGGGGCGTTTTCACACCTGGCTTGTTTGGAGCATTTATTTCAGAAACTCGCACATTTTCTCCCTTGGTTTGTTGAGGCATATAGGAAATTGGCAGTCAAAAATCAGTCCAAGATCACTTTAACCAGGTGGTTTCGGTCTGATTGAAAACAAACTCTGAAGCAGTTTGCTTGTAGTAAGAAAGAAATCCAATCCAGCGGACCAACAAACTAAACTGTATCAAATCTCATCAATCTGTTACAAAAAAAAATAAAAAATTTCCACACATTGCTTGTGCTTGTTTATGGTTTAGTTAATTTTATGACATATCTGACCTACAGGTCAGATACTGTTTTTGTAATTATGATATATAAATCATAAAACTCATGATAAATAAGGCCTGTGTGTAGCTGCATAAAGCACTGACCTTAACTCCATATTTGACTTTCCCTGCGTAGTGTTTAATGATGAAGGCTGACTCCATGACTGCAGGAAACTCAATATAGCTGTTTCCCTCATGCTGCCGCTTGAACTTGTCCAGGTTTTTTTTTTCCACACATTGCTTGTGCTTGTTTATGGTTTAGTTAATTTTATGACATATCTGACCTACAGGTCAGATACTGTTTTTGTAATTATGATATATAAATCATAAAACTCAAAGAGGCCTGTGTGTAGCTGCATAAAGCACTGACCTTAACTCCATATTTGACTTTCCCTGCGTAGTGTTTAATGATGAAGGCTGACTCCATGACTGCAGGAAACTCAATATAGCGGTTTCCCTCATGCTGCCGCTTGAACTTGTCCAGGAGGGTCTGATTGGTGGCCTGTGGAAAGCTGCAATACAAGAGGAAGAGAGTGCATCAGAAGGGCCCTCATACAATACATACTGTATTTTAGTGCAAGTGATGCTCAGGATTTCACTTCCGATACTTTTTTTTCTATTTCTCTTTCTTTCTTTCTGTCTTTCTTCCTTCCTAGTTTTGAGTTAAGTTTTGAGTTTTAATGGTGCAAAATATTTAATTTCATTTTTATTTAAAAAAATATTCTATTTATTTTATTATTATTTGTTTGAAAATTACTATTTTAAATCAATTAAATGTTAATCTGCCATTGCATCTCTAAATTACTCTGCTATCCAACACAATATTCAAATTAAATTATTTTAATTTACTAATAATAATAAACCTCCCTTGGAAGTTTGCTGAGGTCCCCTAATGGGCCCAGGCCCCTTGGTTGAGAACCAGAGAGTGAAAGTGGTCTTCTAGGGAGCATGACTAAGTTTCTGGAGACAGAGTGTTGCTCTGGCCTTGAGAAGAATGAGAGCTGCTGCCAAAACTTCAGCAGAAAAGCAACAGCCACAGGAAGAGGAAGAATGAGACAATAGAGATTTAAGCCATGAAACACACTGATGTGGAGATTCAGGGTTCCAGCTATTTTAAGGAGAGGGAACCTTACTCTGTAAATGATACCGTACTTGTATCAGTTTGGATTCATACTCTTATTCCACTATTTATGTGTACAATGAAAAAGGCAGACGTACTTGCATTCCTCATCCAGTAGGTGGAGCAGTGCTGTGGGCTTCTTGCTGATGAGGTTAATGCAGCCAGTGTTATCGATGTAATCAATATTATGCCAAGCAATGCCCTCTGATCTATATTCTTCCTACAAGGAATACAAAACATATTCAACACTGATAATTAATACTCACGAGGAATCAATAAACATTCTGACAATTACAAAGTTCCTGATTGTTCAAGCTTTTATTAATTTTGATGCATTTTCCAGTCTTGGAGATCACAGTTTTATAATTCGCTAATGTTTACAAGTTTTCATGACCGAGAATTATGTCAAAACACAACAAAACCACAACAGAACCTTTCATAGCTGTAACATAAGATGTGTGCATAACGTACAATTGAACATCTAACAAAACCTGTTATATCTACGCAGGTAATTCTTTCATTTTTGGACTGCAGCCAGAACAACAAAACAACAGGCCTGCAAAGAGACTTCCTTTCGCCGGCCTGAGGTTTTGTAGTCTTTGCGGTTTAATAATATGAAAGACATTCTTAACATTTTGTAGCTTTTTTCTCCTCAACTGCTTCCTTGGATCACTGGGAAAGTAAATGAAACAATAAAGGATATAATCCCAGCAGGGTTTCATACAATCTGTGAAATCTCTCTCCTGTTTGCCCATTAAAAGGCAAAAGTATAAAATCAGCAGAACAAAGCAGATAATCTACACGTATCATTCAACTTCCTGTGTAAGGAAGAGGAAGAAAAGAGGGGATTAGAATTACAAGAAACCTTTCACCATAGACTTTTCATCATGATAATATGGTATATAATCCTATTGTTCATGGAAACAAAGTTTGATAAAGATTGATGACTTTTGTCAATGAGAAATAAAAGAAAATAAAGTTTTAAGCTTATGAATGTCTGTTCATAATGATAACAATGACAAAACACATAGAAAACAAACTGTGCTGGGCGAGCTACACGCCAAAATCTAATACTTTCAGTTGTGGGTTTGTTCAAATCCTCAACTTAAAGCATGAGTAATAATAATAGTGTTCTTGTACTAATAATGTAACCTTTTCAGCAACCACATGCACTCTATTTGGCCGATAAGAGAAATGCACTCAAATAGCCTCCAAATCAAATAAAATACATTTACAGCGTCTCCATAAATGCCACAATGAAAAAAGCCCATTAATGGACTAATGAAAGCGCGTGTGGTGTTGACTGGCTCCAGCATGGCTGTATTTATAGGCATCAGATGGCAAGTATGTAGGCGGGACTTTCTTGTTTCCCTGACACACTTTCAGTCAAACATTAACTAACGCTCATAATCTGTGAATCAGTATGTCAAAGCACACAACATGCCACATTCCATGTTTTGTGTGGATAACCTGGGTATGGTCTGTATTAAACATTCAGTGTTACCACACGACATACTTGGCAATACACTCAGGATGTGAACTCATTCCTGACATCTGAATCCAAGAGTTTCCAACTCTTAGAGCAATTAAAGCGTGGAACTTGGCAGACGCGGCAAAATTCCTGCACTTTTATCAAGGAACAAACAGCAAAACTGTTGTGGCAATATTCTCTAGACATTCGAATGAATTCAATCAAAAATTCTTTTAAACATACAAATCCTTTTAACAAAATTACCCAGAATCCTTAATATGGGTTCAGCATGAGGTTAGACTGAGCTAGTCATTACCATTCCTATTCATCTCAATGGAAGTTGCTTGGCTGGAGCAGGACCTCCCAGCAAGGCACAATTTAAATACCGCAATCTTTGCTCATTGGTGCTCAGTTTCTAATTTTTGAACCAAATCACCATAAATGCCATGTGTCTGATCATTGAGTTATTGGAAAATGACACCATGACAACACTGATTGGCTGATGGGACCAAAAAAATAACACCATCTTCAAACATGGGAAGACCAGCGAGCAGGAAGCTACCTTGAAACTCCTAAAACAAGTATAATATAAAGAGAAGCAGATAAGCAAATTTGACTTTGCCCACAGTTTTGACAGGAATCATTTGTCAACATAAGCAGAAATGAAGTGCTAAACCCACAAGTGATAGACTATTATTTGCACATCTGCATAAAGCTACACTTCCTATGACATTATGTGATTTGTGTGGATAAATGTACCATGTGCAAGCAAATCTGTCAAAGCGAGTTTATCAAATCTGGACACTGGACTGACTAGAAACTTAAACTAACAAACCCTCTTTGAGCAAACATATACTTTGAGGTGCGTCACAAAGGCACGGCTTTGACAGGGTGTCATTACAGTGACTGGTTGCCTCTTTAGTCATCCTAAGAGAATGGCCTCATTGAGAAAACACATTATCACAGAGACGCAATTCTTGTCTGAGGTTGGAGTAAAGCAACCCTTTTTATTGTCTCATTATCAAACGGTTTATTTTGTGGGAAACTGCTAGTATTAATGACAATCTATCTTACATGAACACACAGCCTAAAGTATTCATCAACCCAACCCATTAAAGACGTCTGTAATGGCTACATTTTGTATGATGAATTGAAATTAATTGAATTTTTTTAATTTATTATTTATTACCATAAAACACAGAACGGTTAAAAAAGACAGTTCAGAGGAACTAGATTTCGACATTTACTTAAGAAAATGTGAGCAGTGTTTGCTTGTGTAAAGATTATAACAATGCTAATATGCAGGTTGCGTTGCTAGGTGGTTGCTTATTGGCCCAAATAAAAATTCTCAAGTTTCTATATTCTATTCTGGTCCCTAGACTTCCTAATGCAAGTCTAAAGCAAGCGCAAGTAATGAAAAACATGTGTCCCCTATATTTTTTCTCCATAAGTAGAATATATACCCTGGGCTGAATTGATGATAATTTCATGCACTTCAATTGCAGCTGAAAGCAGACAAAAATAAAGATCGCAAACCTTTGATTCTGCCGAAAACATTCAGTCAAGCAATATATGGGTACTTGTTTTATTCTGTGTGCAGTCAAAACAACTTGAATCATAATTGCTGGCAACAAATCTGTTATTAGGCTATAATCTTGAGCTGTGCGTGGGGAGAGAAGCTGATGGTTATCTCTGGGTCCAGCTTTTAAATAAAAAGAGAGAAAAAAAAAACATTACCTGTTCCAGCTTAAAAATGTGCTGGTTGAAATAGTGCTGAAGTCTCTCGTTGGCGAAGTTGATGCAGAATTGTTCAAAGCTGTTGTTCTCGTAGTCTTCAAAGCCAAAGATATCGAGAACCCCGATGGACAGGATCTGAAAAGATGACGAGATGGGAAGAAAATTAAGAACAGTAAAGTTCTCATTTTAAATACTAGGCGATTTTAAGCATGTTCTTGCGTCATTGTGGCAGTAACAAACTGTAGGGGACAATAGTGGTCAAATGTCCGCACTATTAAACTAGACATGGTACTGTATCAGTCGCGATAAATATGTCTATAGGTTAGTTAACATAAGTTACCTTGCTCATTAACATCAGGGCAAAATTAACACTCACCAAGTGTCAAAGCTGCAATTTAATTATTTACTATTACAGTCTGATGAGTTGCGTGTTTTGTTTTAGTTGCTATTCTTCTTCATAATATTATTATTTAATACGTTTCTTTCATGCGTTTCTTTCAGTGAAGCACGGTTCTGTGATCAGCAGTAAATCTCCATCCAAAGGCCAGAGGGCGCTCTCGTGCTGAAACTCCAAATACACCTCGCCGAAGAAACTCAGAAAACACCTATCGCTACAGCTGAATAAACAGAAGATTCAACTGCTTTCATTGATTCAACATGACTAATAAACACATGACTATGGCAATATACGGTTTATCTGAGTTCTTATTATTATAATTTTCATTAAAATAAAGTATATTTATAATGCAATGCCTTTATCACTGCTTAAATACTATGAAATATGTTGCGTGCCTTATTCTGTGTAAGAAGCCACATCATCTCACAGAAGGATTTATTTCAAACACTCAACTGACATTATGAAGTGAGTTTGGAGTAAAAAATATGTTATTAAATGTGGTATTTTCACATGCTTTCAGATAGAGCAGCATTTACTTCACAGAGCCGTAGTTCACTGAGAAGCTATGCAAACAGCTGTCATTATCGTGAACGATTTCTTCGATTTCAGAATAGCGCAATAAAATCGTCTTCGATCGTCGCGATTTTTTTGCGCAACTTGTCAGTGAACTACGGCTATGTGTAGTAAATTCTGCTCCATCTGAAAGCACGTGATGATGATTTCCTGCTGATTACAGAACCGGCTTTTTTAACAAAATGCGCATGACAATCGCATTCGATTAATCGTGCAGCCCTAGTTCAGGCCTAAATAGTATTAGTAACTGCAGTTTTCAAATAAAATACTGCAAATACAGTTTCATGGCTGATAAAAACTCCCAAAATGCATTTTCACTGTGCAACAGTTACATTTTGCACTGCAATAGGCTGCTTTTCATGCCTGCTTTTCAGTCAACCTATCAAGTGCAAACGTTGTGTGCGAACGTTGACTACACTTCAGTGACTAAACACTGGGTTTCTGTGAATTAATGTACAGTATAAAAGGTGAAGCAGGTTAACATGAGCTGAAAAATATTACAATTGGTTGAAACTGAACTTCAGCTGTGTTCACGCACTTGCATAGACTTTATTTCAGGCTTGACTCTAACATAATGATAGGCAGAAATCTTCTAGTGAATTTTACATAACAGCAGGGGCCCAGTCATTGTGAGTGAATATATCCCATTACATAATGTCTTCATCCATAATCTAGAGATTAAAGCAGTGAGAGCCACAGAAAAAAAGGGTGCGTTTCAGTCAGATGGACTCATATTCCTGCTGTGTAATGTAATTGCTGTCAGGTGACTCACTACGGCTCCACTGTCATCTATAGGGCTCCACTGTCATCTATAAAGATAACGGCCCAGCTAACATCCAGAACTCATTCTTCGGTACAGAAATGATTTTACCTTGGCTGACTCTTCCAAGTCTCTTTGGTTGAGCAGCGCGTGATTGATCCTGAACACAATCCAGTCAAAAAGGGCACTGTAGAGGGACTTAGCCATGGAGTCCCGTACCGTCCCAGCCTGCAAGAGAGTGAAAAAAGTCCATTTGATTTAGTTATGACTGATGTGACAATGTGACAATGTAATGCAAACATGTTCACTGATACCAAACAAATATTTGGCAATACTCCATTACAATACAACCTAATCACTTATTCGAATTGTGCAATATAGCAGTGTGTGAATGAAAACAATCTGCAAAGCCGAAAGTGCATGATAAAGTTATTGTCTCCCGAAAGAAAGAATCGACTCTGAACAGCCTAAACGAGTCGTCAGTAGTTCGAATACCACTTCTGTGAAAGCTACACGTCACTGTCTAAAACATTTGCATAATGCTATGTTCTACGTTGGCCGGCCACGAATAACTTGACCCCGCCCTCAAACACTGTAGCTTGTTCATGTCAAGAGAACTCTGTGAAAGTAAATTTCACTTCCGAAAAATTAGGCTGCAAAGAATCAGTGGTTAAAATTTTTTTTTCCCCACTATACCACAGCAGTACAACCCCAATCTTTTTTTGTGTTCCCGTCATTTTACTGACGACTGCTTCTCTAATCTCTGGTAGTTCATCGTGGGATTCACAAAACGCTTGCTCTTGAAAGATGGCTCAGTACACAGTTTATTTGGACCAGCTGGCTCCACTGAATCACAACCTGTAAGTATGATTAATAATTGATGTTTATATTTTCTATCGAAAGTTCAAAATACGAAACTATGGCAGTGGGCAAACTACTTTGAACGAATCGTTTGAGAATAGTTGGAAAATGAGGTGAAATTAAATGCATATTTTGAGAAAACTATAGCGTTTTTTGACCTCGCATGCATGTAAACCTATTGTAGGAGACTCCTAAAACAATATTAGGAACCTTAAAAATGGCATAATAGGGGCACTTTAATGCTCAACATTGTGACACTGCTGCTCACAATCCAATCTTCTGTAACAGGGATACAGCTAACACCAATGAGAGATTTGATTAGTCTAAACCACTTATACCTGCTTGACACTATAAATAAAAATGAACAATAGACAAAACAGTGTTATTCGTCACGGTTGATTGGTACAGAAACTAGAATTATGATGGAAGAGATTATGACTTTTTTTTCACGTTTTGTCACATCCCGTCTTGGGCAGGACATGCTGTAATGCAAAGACATACTAGTTAACCATCATTCAGCAGAGTTGAGTACGCTACTGTAGTTGTAGCCTTGATCTCAACTTCAGCTGAACCATAAAGAAACTATTTTGTTAAGAGCCAGCCTCAGTGATTAGAAGTGTTGATTTAAAGGACTATCGGATGAACTGAAAGAGGAATCTGAGCTGGTTTTCATTAAGGACTATGGCAGCCTGTCTAATACACATTTACAAACAATCAGAGATACAACAGTGCACCATTTGTGATCCTTCTGCATGAAAGTGTGTGTGTTCTGGGTCCACGCCACACAGAAAATCTCTGGGAGACTTGTTTTGGTTTCAAATCAGCACTACTGAACAAAAACTGCAACCAATATTCATGACCAATAAGGGTTATCTGCCCTCAGCCACTGCTTCTGTCAAACAACTGCTCCTGTCCTACTACTGTGGTCATCAGTTTTTAGAGTAGGAGATGTCGTGATTCAGTATTTTGTGATTTGGGCCATATTCCATATTCTAGTTCAGCTTAAGTTTGACAATGAACAGTTCACAAATCCAAATAGAATGTAGTTAAAAATGCCCCTTTGTATTTTATTTATATCATATGACATAATGGTAAACAATATCACACAAACAAGTGTGTCATTTCTTTCGAGAATATTCATTCAATGACCCATTCATCAATGAGAATGAAATCAGCCATTTGAAAAAATCAGATGAATGAATGACGCCATTATTCATTCATTAAGACAGGTTTTAGTATAATTTCTAAATAAATACAATTAAAAACTCCATTAAATCTCATAGCATTAAAATGTAATTTAAATTTCAGTGTAAACTGAGCTGCATCTGAGCAAACACTGTGTGTAAATACATCTAAATGCTACCTCTGCAGTGCAAAGATGGATTTTGTTGATATTTTGTGATGCTATGATTTTAAAAGATTAGCAATAGGCCTAGAGTGTCTCAATATTCTAATTGAATTTACTGATTAAATGCAAGAATTTGGCATAAAAGATGATGCTTTCATCTTATATGGTTAGAAAAAAAACTCATATAATGTATAAATGCCACTATGAATTGACAATATTCACAATGTTGGTTAATTTGATGTTGCCAGCAAAGTCATGACACATATCTCTTGAATATACAATAAATCAGCCACCTCTAGATAGAGAGGGTAAAACTTTTACTTGTGGTTATATGAACAACTTAACTCTATATTTGCAAGGATTTTAGTGTTTAAATCTGTAAGTGTATAAAGTTCAAGGAATTTATCAAGTCAAATGGTGGTCAAATGGTGACTGTAATTTTAATAAAAGAGTTTGCCAGTCCATTATTTAAAGATGACAGGAGAACAGAGTCCTAATGCTGGATAAAAGCTCTGAAAACCTCATAGCTGGTTCTAATTATGATGACGGAGCATGAAAAAGCCCTTGAGAAGCACATTACTTCACTGTGAGCATCACATCAGTGAAGGGATGAATGAAGAAAATTAGAAATGTTAAAAATTAAAATTGAAGTAACTCTTTAGAAAGGCCCCAAAAACAGACCACAAAAGACATTTATATTTAGACATTGACTACATCTACATGAACATCATTCCATCTGGTTTATTCTGAAAAAAACATTAACATGAACCACAGCTGTGCTACTATATATTATACCACATTTAGCCATTTTAAATGATTCATTCTCATGTGTCCTTAACAGTAACACACAGCATGAATTGCTAAATGTAGGTCATGAAGCCTCTTGTAAATGTTGTCATACATAAGTTAAAAAAAATTAAAAAATTAAAGTTTCCTCCTAGCTCGAAAAACTTTTCAGCCTGACTGACTTTTAACAACCTTTTGTGTAATATTATCCTAAATTACTTAATGCTGGTTATGCCAATCAGATTATTGCATTTAGAAAGAAAAAAAGTGAAAGACTTTTTTTTTTTGCTTACCTCTGCAAGTTTGTATGGGACTATCAGCTTCTCGCCCACCGTCACTGTTTTCCGTGTTGTCAGGGCCTCAAAGAGCATTTCCTCCTTGACCTATCATGATACAAGACAGGTTTCTCATTTTTAACATACTAGGACTACAAGGACTTGTACAGTCTGCATTCATTCATAGTTTATCGCAAAATATCTAGTTTATTCAGCAGTAAAACATATGGATCACACTACAGCTTTAATTCAAGCCAGTGTTTAGTTACATAGATGGACAAAAAATAATAAAAATAGCACCAAGCGGCACTAATGGCTGTTAGAAAGATTTCTTTTCAATTGTTGACTTTGGGGCCTGCAATGTTGAATTGTCCTTTAAACATCCAGTAGCACTCAGAAAATTGGCTTTTCAAAAGTTTCGGGGTTTCTTAAGACAGAGAGAAACTGCAACGTAACACAAAGAAGTGGATATTCATCCACATCTATATTCTAACAATAATTTAGTAAATTCTAAAAAATTATATAGTAAATAAAAACAATATAGCTATACAACCGTTTCAAATCAAAGTCTGTACACAGTGCCAGAGTCGGCGTGGACAGTCAAGAGACCTCAACACAGGCCAACACTTCTTCATTAACACATTAAAGGGATACTCCACCCCAAAATGAAAATTTTCATCTTTGGAACAAAATTTAAGATATTTTGGATGAAAAGCGGGAGGCTTGTGACTGTCCGATTGACTGCCAAGTGTCATGGCTGACACAGAATAGCGTACGCTGCTTGCGATCAGCAGATATTCTCCAAAATGGCGCTACGGTGATGTGGAGAGACACAGAGGAGACAAATTGTTGAATAAAGTCTTCGCGTTTTTGTTTTCTTCACGTACAAAAAGTATTCTCATCGCTTCATAACGTTACGGTTGAACCACTGATGGACTATTCTGACGATGTCTTTCATACTTTTCTGGACCTTGACAGTGTAATTTACTTGGCAGTCAATCGGACAGTCACAATATCTTAAATTGTGTTCCAAAGACGAACGAAGCATTTACGGGTTTGGAACGACATGGGGGTAAGTGATTAATGACAACATTTTCATTTTAGGGTGGAGTATCCCTTTAAAGGACCGAAATGAACCCAGCAGTGACCTGTGAAAAATATGTGTCTGGTCTATGCACACTGGGAAAGATGTCTACATCTAATGTACTAATTATATAAACTCGTTGGGCCTGATGTTGAGTCATTCAACTCTATAATTGTGAACAGATGTGTAAGGGCTCATCAAAACTCTGGACTGGTCTCATCTGCATATATTACAGTGCTTTCAAGGTACAAGCAGGCCTACACACTTCACACACACACACACACACACACACACACACACACACTTCCTTTTCTTTGCTGTCTGACTGGCAAATGTAAAATCACTTGAGTGTTAGTTCTCTCTTTTCTTCAGAGAAATTCATGAAGGTGTGTGTCTAAAGATAAAGGCCAGGTTTGCTTTGATCACGTTATTAGGCCACAAGAGGTCATGGTATAGAGAGGTACAGTGGGGCAAAAAAGTATTTAGTCAGCCACCAATTCCTTTTCTTTGCTGTCTGACTGGCAAATGTAAAATCACTTGAGTGTTAGTTCTCTCTTTTCTTCAGAGAAATTCATGAAGGTGTGTGTCTAAAGATAAAGGCCAGGTTTGCTTTGATCACGTTACTAGGCCACAAGAGGTCATGGTATAGAGAGGTACAGTGGGGCAAAA